CTTGGCTTTGCGCCATCAACCTAAAAGCTGAATTGCACTGAGGACTTAATGCATCATTCTAATCAGATAGGTTGTTTGCTATGTACAGTCTGACTAATAACTGCTAATCTGTGAACCATTATGTACAGTGTGTATATAAATGTCTTGTCTGTGTATCTCCAAAGGAGGCACACAGTGTTAATTCATGGGTCTGTAAACAGATAGCACCCATGGCAAATACAGCCAGCTCTTTAAAAGTTAAACCCAGGGGACTTCGGTTAAACTAGCATTCAAATATACAGAGTTATATTCTCTCCATACGATGAAATGAAGATATGATCCTACATAATTATTTAGGAACAGTATTTTTTTAATTTAAAGTTAAAATATTTTTCTATAAAGTAACTAATTCTACTTTAATGAAAGAAAATGTCATTTAAAAAAGTGATTTTTTTTAAAAAGGTGTAATTGTTTGATACAATAGCAGTACCCATGTACATAACAGAGTACAGAGGTCATACAGTTCTACTCTTCACAAATATTCTGGATACTAGTTAGACTGAAGAGGTAGGAAAGACTACTATATGGCAAAAGCCACAAGTTTCTTACTTCTGTCCTCTTTGAAGTTGTTAATAAATTCATCTAATTGAGTTCAGGGAAAAGTGCTAATCAAATTTCCAATATCAACCAACTTCTGCTAGTGAGACTTATTCTTTTCACTGCTTTATTTATTTGATGTTGCTAAGCCGGGTTGTCTGGTTCAGCAAGGAATTTTTTTTGCTTTTTGATTTTGTTCTTAATTGGATATTATCAGATTCATAAACACACTCAGAAATTTTTCAGGGTTAAGTATATCAGTAATATAATATACTTTATTTCCTTACCTAATATTTTCTTAAAGCCTGCCATTAATATATTTACCTGTGTTTGTCCCAGGAAGCAAGCACTGTTTTCAAGGGAAATGAGAACCATAATTTAAGTTCAGGAAATTGTCCATATAATAAAATTTACTGCTGCTTTTGTAAATTGCAACTTTACATTTCGCTGACATAACTTTACAACAACTTTGTATACTAGAAATGATTTTGCTAAGATTTGAATGTTATTTTTTTAATAAAAGGTCATGCATCATCAGTAGGTATCAACTGTATTTCATATACACAGATATAACAAAATTGGAGCTGCCACTGGCAATTTTATAAGAACATTTAATACTATCAGTAAAATTGTTTTTCATCTGAGCCTTTGCAAAGATTCTTTATGCCCCTAAAGGCCTGGTAAATCATAGCATAAGAAATAATTGTGTACTGTATTTAGATTTTAGTATACTTGGCCAATCAAAAATATTTTGATTCACACATACATTAGCAGTTATTAGTTGACCTTTAAAAAAAGATACACCTTTATGATGATGTCTTCTAGTAGAGACATTTGTAGTCGTATAGTGTCATTTATTGCAGTTTTGTACAGTACTTGAGTATAGTGCATAACATAGATATGTTCAGAGTTTAAAAAAAAGTTGTACAAATATTTCTAAAATCAAATAAAAGAGTATCTTAAGACATGGAAATGTGCTAAAAACAACAAAGAGAAACACTGCTTTCTTTTGCTGTTTTATTTTCTTGCTTTTTCTTTGCTTTCGATGTGATTCTGTTTTGTATTTTGTGTGACAGTATACACGCCAAGGTCACAAATGCATATTATGAATAGAATTAATAGTTAAGACAGAGATGACATCAGTAAAATAAAGACATTTCGTAGGTTATAAATGAAAGGGAAAAGCATGGACAAGGTGTGTATCCCTTGAATTCCCTCTAAGTAAACTGTCAGTCTAAACCTTTCTCATCAACAGTAGCTAAAAAATGAGCACTTTACTCAGAACATTAGAATAAAAATATCCTTATTTTCATATATATTTATATGTAAATGTAGATCTTCCATGTAATAGGGAGATGTGTGCAATAGTGTGATTATAAGCATAAGGCTGGAAGGCAAGCAATAAAAAAAGGTTTTTCTCATGGTATAACTATACATTTTTAAAATGTTTCATTTGTAAATTATAAATTATCCCTTCAACATCACATTGTCCAGGTATGAATAAGTATATAAATATGTACATATGTACAAATAATTGTAAATATTAGGACTATAGAAAAATCCCTTCACTTTTAACTCTGTTTTTGGCAAAGGGCTCTGACTGTATAGTTCAGTGGAGGCCCGTGCTAAACTGCTCTTGCTCGATTATGTTTTCTGTGACTGAGGTCTCCCTCCTGTGACCTATTGGGAATTCATACCTTCTGTTCACATCAAGATCTAGGAATTCTCCAAACCTCACTGGACAGGGGTATGAGAAACAGAGGTTTGTGTTTCACCCTTGGCTACGTCCCAGGTACTCAAAGCCTTCCCAGTGTTGACATGATGTTGTGTATTTCTCCATGCACGACACTGTATAGTCAGAACTCTCCCCACACCAAATATAAGTTGTGTTCAGACTCATGTTGAATTACCTGATTAGGAAGGATTTTGCATCCTTATCCAAGAACGGGACTCCTCAAAGGTTTTTGACAGTACAAGTCTTCCCCAGCAAGATTTCTTCTCTGGAAAATAACATCTGGATAATTCAGAGCTGCATGCAAAAAGTGGGTCTTCAGTTTGCCCAAGAAGCCGACGATGTCTAAAGTTAGTCAGCTCTCCTACTGCTGCTTTTATTGCGTACAACTAATTTTTCACTGACTGACCCTTTTCTCTTTGCTTGTGTTATGCTTAGAGGCAGTCAGTCAAAAAAACAGGTGTTTATCAGATGCTAAAGATACATTTATTGCACATTTATATAGAAAAGTAGGCAAACTATATAAATTCACTCAGTGAAAAGGAATAAATTTTAAATATTTACATGCAGTTATTGTGGGCATCAGCAAGGCTTTTAAGTGGATATGCTCCAGAAAAGCTTCACTTTTACATTTAGTTCAGTTGGTCTACATTAAAGCAAACTCCTTCTGTGGGAAGAAGCAGTCTGCTTTATTGTTTCACTACAGAAATATTTACAGTGGGTAAACTGAGTACATGTAACTTGCAAATCTATAAGACTATCAACTGGATTAGTGAATTTAAATGTGAATTTAAGTGAATGGAAGCACTGTGCAAAGAATGTCACAGTTAGGCCTTATTTTCATTTAACAGTATAGAATCTGTGTGTGTGATTTTACAGCTGATGTCACAAAGTTAAATGCAAATACCCTGAAGTTTCATTTCATTTGAGTAGGGAGAGAGAATAAGTGAGAAAACGCAGGTCACTTCTCTCTCAAAGACTTGCACATGGAATCTACCAGCGAATTTTTTGGTTGACATATAATTCTAATTTATTTTTCCCATTACTTTTGGTCAGGGTATCATATTTTATATGACTTAAGAAATTAATACAATAAATACAAAGATTTTCTTACACTGTGGTAAACTTATATTGGAATTACACTAGTTCCGAATGAGGTTTATGAAATCGGTTTTCAATGTTGTACTAGGGCACAGACTTTTGAGTGCATGTGGTCAGTTAATTTAACAGTAATTCACAAATCAGCATGAAAACTGTGGAGATCAGCAGTGTTTATCAGCCAGAGTTGTCTGCTGGACACTTCATGACAGATTGCTTTTAAAAGAGTGGCTTCCAAACTTCTCAATTGTACTGTAGCCAGTGAAATTACCTTTA